CACACTAGTTCAAAGTCACTGGTATAGAGTGTGCTGCTCAAGTTGGTCAGGGTGCACACAAGGCTGTTTGGTTGTCCTTGTATCAGGGGAGCACATAAGGGGAATCTTAGGTGCTGCATAGAACAGAGGTTCTGTTAATAATCCTTGAGTGGATTTCTAAATGGTGTTTCTGACTGGCTCCTCATGAAAATGCCTCCTTGCAGACCACTTATCTGTAACGCCTTCAGACACCAATTCCTATCCCATTTGCAGCTGACCCTTTTTAAAGAAAAAGATCGCAGGGGTGGGCAAGGTAGGCAGTTATCATGCTTAGCACTCTGGGAGGCCGATTCAGGATCATCCTGCATCACTGGAAATCAGGAGTGCAAGACCCTGTCTCTACAAAAAAAAAATAGAAAAATAAGGTGAACATCATTTCATGAGCCTGTAGTTCCAGCTACTCGGAAGACTGAGGCAGGAGGATCACTAAAGCCTAGGAGTTGGAGGTTACATTGTGCTGTGATGATGCCACTGCACTCAAAAGAAAAAGTGCAATGTAAAATAGTAAAATCTTCTAACTCTTGGGGGAGGGCGGTTGTTTATTGTTCATTTGGTTGTACTGGCTCCTTAATAGTTACGACGCTACCAGAAGTACCCTTCTATAGTGAGTCCTGTCTCTTAGTTGTGTTGTCATTAGCACTTGCTGTACCTTACGGTGGCAAAATGCTGAAAATTATCACAGAACCTTGGAAACACAAAACACAGTGGCTCACACTATATAATCTGAGCAATTCAGGAGGTGGAGGCGGGAAGATATTCCTCTCCTCACCATCACTACAAAACAAATTTTAAAAATTAACTAGGCAATGTGGAGTGTGCCTGCAGTTCTTGGTATTCCAGAGACTGAAGCAGGAAGATTGCATGAACTCAGGCTTTTGAGGCTGCAGTAAGCCATAGTCGTACCACTGCATTCCAACCTGGGTGACAGAGGATGTTCATATTGAACATTGTTACCTGTCTCTCAAAAAAAAAATAATGATTTAAAAAATATTTTTAATTCATGCATGGTGGCTCACATCTGTAATCCTAGTGCTTTGGGAGTCTGAGGTGAGTGGATTGCATGATCTCACGAGTTCAAGACCAGCCTGAGCAAGAGTGATATCCTGTCTCTACTTAAAAAAAAAAAAAAAATACATGGCAGGTGCCTGGAGTCCTAGCTTCTTGGAAGGCTGAGGCAAGAGGATCACCTGAGCCCCCAGAGTTTGACGTTGTGTATGTAAGCCATGAAGCTGCAGCACTCTACTAAGGGTGACAAAGACTGTGTCTCAGATGCAGAAGTTCTAACGTTTTGGTACTTTGAGTAAGACTTTAATAAATAATCAAATAGTGGAGGGATAAAAAGTGAATATAAGTTAATTACTTTAGACCATATGACACTAATTGATTCCTCAGTCTATTTGTGAAGGGGTTCTGAGTCTGAAAGAATTTATGTGTTCTTATAGAAAACTTGGAGACTGCATTTAGAAACTGTAGAAGACACGGTGATACAGCAATGTAGGAATCATTACTATTTACATTTTCTGTTTTTTTTTCCTTTTTTTTTTTTTTTTTT